TGCCTGCTTACAGCCTCCCAAGAGCTGGGATTTTAGGCACTTGCCACCACAACCAGTCTGAATTGCCTTCTCAGGGTGCCCTGGGGGCGGGGCCAACACAGCAGGCTTGGGGATCAAACCCCAGGTCCCTGCACCTGCTTGCAGGTGCTTCAATCTGCTGAGCTATTTGGCTGGCCTTTGTCCAGGTTTAAATAATTTAGAAATTATTGCTTAAAGTCCTTTGTTTCCTAACAAGATACTGTATAACTCTATATTTTATGGCTAGGGAGCTAGCTCAATGGTACAAGTGCCTGCCTGCCTGCCTGGCAGGTGCAAGGTCCAGAGTTCAATCTCTGGTACAAACCAAACCAAACCAAGGCAAGCCAAACCAAACCAAATAAAACAAAACAAACTGAGTCTTTGCCAGGGAGATAGCTCAGCAGCATAAGCACTTGCCTGGCAAACATAAGGTCCTGAGTTTGATTCCTGGTACCATTACATACACACAAAAAGATATTGTCTTATATTTTAAAATCAGACATTTCCCAAATAGATCTTACAGGTAAACATCAATTATATGCATTATCATATTGATCTAAAAACATTTTTAATGGATATTCTGTACACTAGATGATAGCACTGTAAAGTGCAGGATGAACCAAAAGACTGGTAGAAATGCTACCAGTGGACAGAGATCTGATTCCAAAATTGTCAATGTTTATGAAGAGAAAACAACCCAACCCAAAAGACGGTTTATCAGATCAGAGGAAGCATAACTTACTCAAGGAGGGTTAAAAATTGTCAATGTACTATTTTGCTTTATTGTTTCTTTTTGATGAGATGAAAATTTCATTAAGGTGGATAATTATGCAGTTCTTAATTACAGCCGGGCAGCTCACGCTGTGCTCAGATGGACAATCATTAATCCTCTCCAAAAGAAATCAGTGTGCTAATCTTCTTCCCTTTCCCATTCTATTCCTGTTCATTCTTTTCTCCTTTCTCCTCTGCATTTTCTTTTTCTTTCTTTCTTTCTTTTTCATAATTTTATTGAGAAACATATAGCAATGAGACAGTTTCAAACCAAATTGGTAGCACAGTTTCAGTAATTAACATATTGCATACATTCTTCCTAGTGGTTAATTACTGTACAAGATGCAGACTTGATATTCTATTTACAAACACCATTAGAACAAATCCCTCTATTCATTAAGACAATGTAACTATATATCTATCCTAACCACTTTGAATACACAGATACAAAATGGACATTCATCTGTATCCCCTTTTCTTGTTTAGTTCCGTTATTTGAATCTTATAGGTGTGTTAACTCAGCAAAATATTCTAAAAGGGTCCAGTAGTCCATAATAGTATTGGGTCCTCCCCTTGGCTGGCAATGTCAGCAATTGTTGACCTGAGTCCCCTACAGCTCAACATAACAGCATGGCTTTACTTCTTATACTTCATTTTTATACTTTTCTGCTGGATGGTTAAGACCAAGGTAAAGCAGGACCTATGCAATAAGAGTTGTAGCTTTTGGTCTGAGAAGGTCAGTGAAATCCCCTTAGGATTTATCCTGAGATCCTGTACCTCAGATTGTAGGACCTTTGTCAGTGTCAGCCATTCCTCTGCATTTTCAATTCCAGTAATCATGTTTTGAGACTCTTATGGTACTGCCAGTTTTCCCCACATCACCAGTGTTTGATCATTATACTATGTTTTGTCTAGTTTATGTTGGAAAGTCTCTTAAGATTGATTGGGTCCTAGAATCTATAAGTGTATTATATCTCCTATGGTTTAATGACTCAATTTAATGATCAATGTTATGACTTTGAGCAAAAATATAATTGTTCATGACAGTGACTTTGCCAGGACAACACCATTTCCCTCTCAGGTGATAACTGTATTCTATTTGTCTTGGTTACACATGGGTGTTTAAAGTTAGCCATAGAACTCTTTGACTTCATTCTCTCTTTTTAAAGATACATTTTTAAAATTTATGATAACGTTTCAAATTTCTCTTGTTTCAGATTAGGTCTGTTTTCTCAGGTCTATATTTAGAAGTAACTCTTACTGGTCTGTGTTCTTTTTTCTTTTTTGGGGAAGGGTTGGTAGGGTTGATCTGGGAGGAAACACTGGACTGAATATGATGAAACTTTTTCCCCAGCTTTTTATTATCTAGATCAATGACATTTGATAGTTGACATAATCGTGTTTATGTCGCAAAACCCTATCAATAAAGAAGGCATTTGGGGAGTGGGTAGCTTTCAACTGATTTAGAGAGCCTCTGTTCTACTTCTAACAATTCTCATGCTTCCGGTTTTCTTTTCTTGGAATGTGAAAATAAAGGATGACCATACATTTATTTTATTTTATTTTTTTGCAGAACCAGGGATTGAACTCAGACCCTTGCGCTTGCCAGGGAAGCCCTTATTCCACTGAGCCATCTCCCCGGCCCCCATACATGTAATGCAATTGTCTCCTTGCCTTTTTTTTTTTCTCAAGCAGATAGATAAATAGATAATAAAAGGATAATTTATCTTCTAATCTTTTTTGAATATTTAATTATATCACATTGTATAAGTGCCATGGAATTTACTGGAGAAAGCACTGGTAAAAGAGTAAGAGTCAGCGCTTATTTCTCTGCAAATGAAGATAATTCAAGCTTTTGTATAAGAATCTCCTTTTAAAGAGTTGCTGACCGCTCAGAGAACAAGAGGGAAAAGATAAAAAGGACAGAGAACCCCCCCCTCTTTCCTCCCACCAGGCCCCACGGGTGGGCAGCGGGCGCGGGCAACCTCCTGAGCTTATTGCAGAAGGTTTGGGGGGCACGTGGCTGCCGGAACCGGGGTCCTTACCTTACAGCCTTCACACGTGATGACTCCGTAGTGGATCCCGGAGGATTTATCGCCACAAATTTTGCATGGTATCACTTCAATTTGTGCTGAAAGGGAAAAAAAAGCAAGCATTTTCAGCGTATGGTTGTGTCCCTTTCACCGTGTGCATATCCTCCCCCACCGCGATGCTTGTGTTTGAAGATCCTGGGGCGGGAGTGGCGGTGTGGAGTCACCCACCTCTACTCCAGGGCTTTCCTAGTCTTCTACGTGAAGAGACAACTATTTACCATTACTGTTCATCTTCTCAAACTAAAAGAATTAAATAATTAACCAGAAATAAAACACCTGAAATTTTCTAAACTCTTGACTTCATTGTTTTCTCCATTTTAAACTTAACCTTAAAATAGTTTGATGCAAAAATCCCTTGAACTCATGACTTTTGATTTTTTATTTTACATTTGAAATATTAAGTCTGTAAGTTCTGCATGGCCCTATGTGTGTACATGCATGTGTGTGTGTGTGTGTGTGTGTGTGTGTGTGTGTGTTATGGCTTTGCACTTTATGTGGTTGAATGATTACTTGTGAACGTGTCGATAATGAACCAGCTCAGTGTAGAGGCAGCATGGTCAGTATGTCCACTAACATACCGAAGACCGCTGACAGAGGATAAGTTATGGTAATGCATCTAATAATAAAATTAATGAAATAATCTCATTTGGCGACACAATAAGACAGTTTCTTATAATCAAATTAATTAAGACATGGAGAAATCAGAGAAAAGATAATAAATCTTGTTGGTACAACAAATGTTGTAGGAACCAGAATGGTTTCATTGGAGATGGTAACATTCCATTGTGAAGACTGTGTGGGATTTGGTTGATCTGAAAAGAAGGCAAAGGGTAGTGAGTGAAGGAGGTGGAGGGTCGGGATGCCTGCGACTGGGAACAGCACAGCAGTTGGCTGTAGGAAAATGTGGCTCCTTAGGTCAGGGAGCGGGAGGCCAGCTTGGGGCTCTTCAAGAGCCACACAGAGGAGCTGTCTCTTCATCCCACCTGCATGGAAGATGATCAAAGTGAACACGGTGAGTGATGAAAGATGTGATTTTGTTAAGCTAGAAAGAGCAGTTTGGCAGTGGAGATAGCTCAGTAGAATAAGTGCTTGGCTGGCAAGCACAAGGGCCTGAGTTCAATCCTTAGTTCCGCCAAAAAAAAAAAAAAAAGCAGAAGCACTTTATACCTCTTGTTTATATTTTTCTGCTGAATGGTTAAGACCAAGATAAAGCAATATTAGTATCCTGAGCTGTAAAAGGCTCAAGTCAACAACTTCTGACATTCCCAGTCATGTGGCTAACCCACTACTATTAAGGACTACTGGGGCTGGGGAGATGGCTCAGTGGAATAAGCGCTTCCCTGGCAAGCACAAGGGTCTG